ATGTATTTTCTTGTTTTTCTTTTTTACTCTGAAATCTTTTGGGATATCTTTTTTATCTTTGGTTTTGTAAAATTTATAATATATGTCTTGATATTGGTCTTTTTCAATCATTGGGTGCTTTCAAATTAGAAACAAGCATCCTCTGGCTCTGGGAAATTTTCTTTTATTATTATTTTTTTGTTTCTTCCCTTCTATTTTCTATTATTAGTCAGATAGCTGGCCTGATACTCTAATTTTCTTATCTTCTATTGCCTATTGTTCACTACTATGTCTTTTTGTTGTTCTGTTCTGCTATAGGGATATTTCAATACTTCTATTCATTTTTCTATTTATGCTGTCAATTCATAATTCCCAAGAGCTCCTTTCCTTTTCTGTGATTACTCCTTTTTTAAAAATAGCATTCCTTTTTTTTCAAGGATGCAACAGCTCCTCTTATTTCTCTGTGGGGATTAATTTCAATTCTCTGAATTTAAATTCTGTTTATTGCATTACTGCATTGATTCTCTTTCTTTTCTGTTTGTTTTATCCTCAGACTCACAGGTCTCAGATTTACAGATGAAGAGTTTCCTCAAAAGTATTGCAATCTCTGGCTCGTTGGTTATATCTAAAAGTGAGCCTCTGAAAATCGACTGGCAGCTCAGTGTGTATCAGCCAGCCTGTTAACTTAGGTTTCACTGTAAGGAGACTGGTTGGCACATCTACTTTTTCAAAGGGAACTACCTAATATATCAGTATCTATAGGCTTTGCTCTGGAAGAAACAATCGATTTTCTCAGAGAACTGTCCTCTAAAGAAGTTACATAGAGACACTGGCCTAACTGCTGCAGCGGAGAAGGTCTCAAATTCCAGATACAGACTCTCATTTCATCCCCTTATTTTCATCTAGCCACCTCACTTCTACTATGAATTTGCGCTTATCATCTTCAAGTCCAGAAACCCTCTAGTTTGGTGTTTCCAAAAAATATTTATCCCATATCATTTGTTCTTTATACAAACTGCCTGTGGTTTTCATGTTTTATCCTATATCCCTCTGCCAGGCTAATCTCTTTGCTTTCTCTACACTCTTACTATCTTTTTACTCAGTGTCATACAACTTGGCACTCATCAATTTCCTAGTAATTTCATGTGTCTATTTTCCTTGAATAGATTATGCTGGGGACTCAGCCCACACCTTACACTTCCTTGGTGCCTCCCACAATGATGGCAGTCAATAAATAACATGTGATCGGTTTTGTATAAATAATATACTATTATTAATAGTTGTAACTTAAAACCATAGTTTGTCTATTATTTTATGAGGAAACCAAATTGATTTTCACATAATTTGATGAAAGGAAGGATCAGGTAATGATCCATTCTACAATTCAGGAAGTTATGATAAAATGAGTTTCATAAGGTCGCGGCTTATCTGTGATAGGCTTGGAAAATAAGTTATATTTTTACATAGCCTGTCAAGTAATTCATTACAAGAATTAAAAAAGGAAACTATCTTTTCTTGATATTTTAAAATTACACCTGGAAATGTGAAATCGTAATAAAATGAAATCAGAGTACAGCTGACTATATTATATACTTTTACAGTTAAATGTACATACGTGATTCAAATAATTTAACCTAAAATCAGTATATGTGAAGTTACATCTACTTAATAATAATATTGTTTTTAACTAATTATGCAATAATCTGCAAATATGAACGTGACTTAAAGCATAATAATTTAAGAAATTTAAAACTTCCATGATAGTGGTATACAATTTAATAGTGCCTTGGGCTGGCCGAGTGGTGCGTTGGATAAGATTTGGCTTGGGACGCCAGAGGGCCCCGGTTCAGATCCCACATATGAGGGCCAGTGACACTGCCCTCTACAGCTAAGATGCTGAACAACAGCTCAACCTGGAGCTGGGCTGCTGTGAGTCTCTCTCTGGCGATGGCAGGTGGGTTGCCATGGGCTACCGTGTGTAGCCAGCAGCTAGTGTGAGCAGCCGTCCAGAAGCCGGCGACTGATCTGCCTTGCCCGGGAAGAGCGCAACGATGGTGCCAACTTGGGCCAGTGAAGCGACGTCCTCCACAACTAGACTGAAGAACAAAAGGACAGCAACTTGTCTGTTCCCCTTTCCCCGATTCTCCAGCGCTGTTCCCCTTCCCCAATTCCCTAATAAAAAAATCTTTAAAAAAAAAATAGTGCCTTAATGCTGAAAGTATTATTCCCTAAGGATAGTTTGTAAAATGACTTAAGAAATTCAAAGCAAGAAATTATTAAACATGTTCTCATAATGAAATCATTTTAGGAGACCAAAAAACAATGAGAAATATATTTGATAGTTAGTAAAACTAAAACTCTAAATTATATCTCCCAGTTTTAATGAATTTTTAAACTAGGAATAGGCAGAGTCTGGAAAACCGACTTCAAAAGACAATTTTCATACAGAATATATGTATAGGTAAGTCTTGATTTATAAACTGTTTTGAATTTACAAGCGGAGGAAATTATTTTTTAAATGAGACAATTTATAGGTCTTTGGATCAACAATATTAACTAAGCTCTGGTAATGATGACAACCTATAAAAACTCTTTATTCAACAGATAGAAAAATCCAAGGTCAGGTCTCATCCTCTGAAATCCTTTATGTTTTACCTGGCATGCTAGTTTCTAAACAACTGGACTTTTTGGAGAAATAAGAATCCCTTAAGAAGAAGACAACCAAGATAAATTCCATAAATCCTAAATTTTCCATGGGAGGGGATGGTGGTAAAAGATTTACATTAGTTGAGGAGACGCCACAGTCAAAGACTGAGAGTTCAACTATATTAGCAACAAGATGCTGAGGAACTTTTTTCATTTCACCCCTATTCTAAGAGTTAGAGAACATTATGTTGTAGTCGACTGCTGCCATTTTGGGGGTAAATATAAGGTGACAATTATTAATACTAGAAATTTAGGCATATGTCACTTTTGAAGCCATCACATTGGGTGATGCATAAAAGAGGGACATTAGGGAGCTTGTGGAGGTGGTTTACTTATTTTGCAACTAAGAAAAGGTTAAGAGGATCCTTCTAAACATTTAGATTGAGCAACAAATTTTTAATTTACTGTGATAATAGAGACCTTCAGGAAAACAGACATACACATATTTTTAGACCCAGCTAACAGTCTTGTTTAGAAACTGAAGAAGTGGATGGATAATGTTAAGAAGTCTCTCAAAGGCCCTAAAGATATGGGGACCAACCCAAACCTGTGGGCAGTATGTGCTGGTAGTAAAAGATCTATTTTAAGAATATCTAATCAACCAGTATTGTGAGGTCAAAGTAAATTACAAAAGTAATTTTGTATATATATTACCATGCAAATTCCTTTTCTAAGCTGAATGAATTAAACAGTAAGGGATATCCCTCTCCATACTCCCCCACACATACATACACACAAACTTGCTTATTAAATTAAAATTCAATAAAGTCTGTTTAAAAAGGATTGCCTATTGGGATGATCCACTGCATATTTTAAGATGTCTGACATGTTCCAACTTACCCCGTGTGATGGTAAGGGTGGAGGCCATGAGACACACCTCATACTATAGGTGGTAGGCATGCCCTCCAGTCAAATAATTTTGAGCTTGTTTTTAAGGTGAGTAATGGCACTGAGAAATACAATTTGAGTTGTACTAAGTTTAAAGTTTCTAGAGCATATTTTGTATTCAAGTTTTAAAGTCTGATTAAAACTTTCATGAAAATAAATTATATGACTTTTTCATAATCCTAAATCAAATTTAAAAAGTATTATCATTCTAGAAATATTAATTCAGCCTTGTAAACAATCTCTGGAAAGTAACAATTTACGCCAGTTAAGTAGGTAACTAGTTATCTTCATGAGTAAAGGCAGAGTAGTTTAAACAAAAAATGAGGAAAATAAAATTCATTAAAATGATAGTCTATATTCAAGTAGTAGATTATGTTCCTAATTATGACAAATTCAATGCTGTATTTAGATTTCTGGATAGAGTCATGGGCCTACAATGCAAACAACAGTAGTTAGACCTAAAATAAATAGCACTGTTAACAATTAAGAATTTAAATTGATACAGGATTTTCAATTCCATGAAACAATTATAATTATTAGTAGTACTGATGTAATTTCAATACATGATGTAACATGTAAGAGTAGAATATGACTAATGATTCTTTTTTTATCAAAGGCAAGTAAAATTTTTCTAGGCAAATAGTATTTTTAAAGCCTATCAGCAAAGCTGAGGCATTTGTCCATTATTTTGTGATCAATGGACACTAATTATTATGATTATGTCCTGAATATAGACTCATTCAACATGTAGCTCCCTGTCTAGGCCCTGATAGTGTTGTCCAATAGAGCTTTCTGTGATGGAAATGTTCTGTAGTAATACTGTCCATATGATAACATGTGGCTACTGAGCACTTAAAATGTGGGTAGTGCAACAGAGAAACTGAATTTTTAATTTAATTAGTTTAACTTTACATTTAAACAGCCACCAGTGACTAGTGGCTACCATATTAAACAGTGCAGCTTAGAGGATTCAAAAGGTAAGAGCAAATGTCTTGTTATGTTAAGTCTAACTCTAGTCTGCTTGTTGATTTCCACAAGCATGGCATTCACAAATGCTTACTATAAGAGTGGTATGCCAAAAAACCTTTTTGTCCTATGGCTTTTATCTTCATTCAAAAATATGACTGAATCTACACCAGTCAATATCTAATACAACATTCAGACAAATCCAAACAAAAAATACCATCTGAAAAGGTTTTTATTAGTGTTTATAGTGTGTCAGTACAACTATACTGATTAATGAGGTAGCCTGATGGCCTGTGTCAATCCGTCTAATGTTAGTTCTAGAAGGACTAAAATTCAAACTATGAAATATCTACTCCTGAAACGTTTTTGTCCATTACCTATCATAACACAAGAATACCAATTACTGCATAGTTTTCAGCTTCATTGGTTAAACACTGCAAAAGCACGTCAAACCATTTTACCTGACAGACATATTTGTTCTTCCATTTGCTCAGCACACACTGACTATTTTGCATCAGCTCCTGATAAAAACACAGAAAGAGAGAGTGCAGTTGGCTATACACATTGTTGTTATCAGTTAAAGTGCTTCTGATTTGCAAGCAGAAAAAAGATCAGCATGCCACACAAAGATGCAACTGTTTTGGAACTCCCCACTGGACAAAAGCAAAGCTATCATCACCAGGAGAGTTGATCCTTTATGAAAATTAAAGTTGTTGAAAGATGTTTTAAAACAGATTTGTTTGTTGCCAGTTTTGAAACTTTTGGAAAGATACCTCCAACTCCTTGAGCGAGTCTCGAAGTTTTTCTGGGCGTCTATTTTTGAGCGTCCAAGGATAATCTCGTGCTGGCAAATGAAACATGTATACAGTTAGTTAAACATGATTTTAAAAGGAAACTGCTTAGCAGTGTGCCTTAGGAAGATTAAAATAAAACACCTCCTTAATTGAGAGGAAGTGGGCTTCATTTCCATCATCAAATGACAGCCTTTTGAAAGGCTTTGTCATAGGGAACAGAATTTTTACCACAAAACAATCTCCCTGATCATAATTTTATGATGACAACCAACAAGGTATAGAGAGAATCCCTGGGAAAGTTTCCTAGGCCTGTGAATCTAGTACCTAATGGCAAATTATCCAGTCTTTACCATAGAAATAACATTTTCATATAAATAATTACATGTTCAATCCAAAAAAAATTCCAAATTCTGCAAGTAACCTTCTCAGACCTGAAAATTCCTAATGAGTAAATGAATATAGCAGGGAAAGGAGTAAAATACAAAAAAATAATACACAGGAAAATGAATTTTAAATTAAGCATCAAAGCATCACATATTAAAACTAAGGAAAAAAATGAAAGGACTTTCAATTTTTAAAAAATTAGGCACTAATAGTGCTTTTTTATTTAAAATAATTTTCTTTAAAATCAATACCACAATTCAATAATAATAAGCCATTGTTGTGTTCTAAATACATTTAACTAAAAGATGAAATTATTCAGTAGAGTCTCAATGTTAGCTTAAGTCGAACTAAACATAGTTTTGTTTAAAAGAATGAACAAAATGTTAAATTGATTATATCTACTTCATCACAAAAATGAATTCATCTTCGAATTCTCCTGAATAGTAATTTTAAATAAGAGTTGTATATATATGTGTGTATATACATATTTTATATACAGACATTAAAATTTTACAGAATTGCTATACAGTATATCTTATTTCATTTCACTTTATAAACATAATTTATGATGTGTAGAACATATATGCAAATTGTAAAATCTATGTTACAGCTACTAATACAATATTTTTAAAAGTTAAATGTCAGCTTAACCATTTAAAAAAGAACAAGTAGGATTGATTTTCAGCTCCACCTATAGTCCAACAAAATGTAAATTATATCTGTCATTAAACCCATATAACAATGTAGTTATATTACATATGTAATATATTTATATATTTTAGAACAGAGAAGGCTAGAGAGAATAAAATGCTAATACTAATCATTACAATCTTATTTTCTTAAAATGAGTAAAACAATATTTTAGACATAGTACAAATAAAATGTTATCAGAATTTAAGCATGACATACTTATTTTAAATATATTAAATAATATAAATATGGTTCATTAAGAAAACTCATGTTTACATAAGCATATGAAAAATGGATAGAGATTTCAACGGTCTAAATTAGAAATGCCTAACAAATATAATTCTTACTTATATGTTTATATTCTAAACAATGTGAATTTATAAGAAATTTAGAAGGAATAACATTTCCTATTTGTGCAGAAAGCTTAAAATATTTTTTCAAAACTGAATCTTCAGGGATATTAAAATTCCAATTTTATAGTAAATCCAAACAAATATAAAGTAGACTTACATTCTGCCAACTTTTGCTTTTCTTCTAAGTTACCATGCTCTGCCGCTGATATTGTGTAGGAGGAGAGTTGGAAAGAAGAAAAAAAAGTGTTATTTTATTATAAGATTTTGTATTTTTATATGCACATATATAATGTATCATTACACATATTATTGAGGTTAGTAAAATATGCTAAACTTTTTTAAAGGCAGTTGAAAAAAAATACCATCATTTGGATGTTTTCATTTCATAAAGGTATTTCCTAAATTTGCAGTGAAAGGGCTTATGTAGCACAACAGGTGGGCCAATATCCTGAGCTTGCAATCTCATCAGATAGGGAAGGAAACTGCAACAGAGCCCAGAACAGACGCTATTTCAGTCTGTCATCAGAACCATGAAGTCAGCCTATTAACCACCAAACTAAGCACACAGGATGCCCACACAAGCCCCACTTCAACAGAGACCAAAACAGGAAGTAACTCTAGCTAGAAAGACCTTTTGGCCCATCATGAAACTTCTGGGATTAACAGGATTAATCAGATAAAGAAAATTGATCATTCACTCAGAAATGCCTATTTCAGATATCAGGTGAGGATCCAGGAGGCCAGCATCAGTGGGACCCATGCATTAACAATGCCCTCTACTGGGACACTGATAAATAAACGTGAATAGACTGTCCAGTTATCAGTCTGATCAGCAGTAAAATGAAAATTTTCATGTTCTTCTACAGCATTTTCTCAATATTGCTTTATTTTATATAGAATAGATATCAACCTCAGCATTTTTATAAGGAACTAAAGTGACTTTTCTTGAAATCCTAGAATTTATCTAAAGCTCATAAAAACAGCTTTTAATGGTCAGAATTATACAGTTTAGAATATTTAGTTTATAAAAATTAGTTGAGTAAAATACTTTACCTGGTGGATCTTTCTTGTCATAATACTGGTATATGCCGATATCTCTATCTATAGAGAGGAAGAAATAACATTAGATTATGGTGAAAAGTTCTGGAGAATAAAAAGTGAAACCATAGTATGTGGGAGTGTAGGGCAGGGAGGAGGACAGAAACAGTCTCTTTATGTTACTAGAAATAAAATAGTTCAAAAGTCTCTGAACATGGGTTCACCTATTCTAGGAACATGCAGAAACTGGAAAGTTTATCAATCTAATTAGAAAAAATTTACACAAAACTAGAAGGGCATGAGGACAGGAGTGGTAAAGAAATGAAATCAAGGAAGACAAGCTTTTCTCTTTCACACTTCCTCTTATATTTTTCACAGGTGCTACCAAAAGGAATTGCCACTAAGCAATGCCAAATGAAATCAGTGGATGGAAAAAATGCCCTAACTGTTGGATTCTGAACTGTGGTTTTCTTTTCTATTTAGCTCAAGTCTAGTATGGTGTTTGGTGGGGAATCTGCAGGAAAGAAAGAGAGGATTAGAGTAAGGTATGGATAAATTATCTGAAGCTTGTTTAGACTCAAAAAACCTTCCAAATTCGGATTCAGATTTGAACCCATTCAAATTCGGATACTGTGCTGGAGTTACAAAAGAAGTAAAGCTAGGCTTTTTAGGTGTTGAGAGTGATTTAATCAAGGAATCTGTTGTTGTAATTTAATTACGGGAGAACAAAATAACTCTCCATTTTCTTTCTATATCTGAATAGTGAAATATTTCTTTCTTTGAAGTAACATTTGTTTCTTTCCATGCAAAATAATTCTAGTTACTAACAAAAGGATACGACTGTTTCTAAAGAAGTGGAAGCAGTACAGGCTGCCCCCTAGTGACTTTCTCAAACTGAATGATGAAACTTCAAAAAAATATATTACAGCTATAATTAACTTTTCAAAAATAGTTTTCAAAATAGCCAGTAAGCTATTTATTCATTACGCTATTAATCTGGACATACAATTTTAAAGAATGCAGTTTATTTCTATTTGATTGAAGATATTGATTAAGGAATTATTGAGAAAGGTCATGAGTAGGGCTCCTAGGATACTGATAATATTTTATTTCTTGATCTGGGTGATGACTTTATGGGTATGTTCACTTTTTGAAGGTTCAAAACATGCCCTTATAATTTTACACTTTTCAATACATGCTATAATTAAATAAAAAGGTTTTATTTTTTATTTTTAAATCTAAGAACCACAGGCATTATGTACACTGATAATATCCTCTATTATAAATATTCCATTATTGGATGCATCCAAATATTTACAACTCTAGATTAGCACTATGAAGATCATAAGGGGCCCTGAATTCTAAGCACAAATCTTACCTACTGCATCAGGCCTGGAGTGGGGCTGTCAAAACCCAAACAGGACGTGGAGCTATCTGCATAAGGGGACCTACCCCACACAGAATGTTAGAGCCCCAGCTGGATGAGGAAGATGAGGAAGGTGTCTATACAGAGATTGGCATTACATGGTGTGGCAGAACCCTAGCAAGGTGAGAAGGACATTCACATGGGGCAGTGGCCTGGTGTGAGGTGTTAGAAGCTGAACAAAGTGAGGACATCCACATGTGGCGGCAACCCAACATGGTTTGTCAGAACCCACATGGGGTGAGAAGGGCATTCACACAGAGGAGGGACTGGCCACAGAGACAGGAGACTGACTGCATACAGGCTGAATGATTAAGTAAGTAAAGGTATGGAATCCCTAGCTTTCCCAATGTCTGCAAATAGAAGTACAAATATAGAAAAGGAGAAAATTATAATTAACCCTGTTTAGATTAGAATTGGAGATACCAGAGTGACCTCATGGTTTTCAATATATAGATACAGAAATGAATGGGGATGTAAATATATGTATATATACGTACGTACATACATACATTCCTGACACTCTGCCCACTGAGAGGGACTGGGAGCAACGATAGTCCAATAGCAATGAGCAGACACACATAAAGCACACCCTGGCTTCTAGATACTATCCTCTTCTAAAAGCAACCAAACTCCTGAGAGAAGTGGCTGATTCCAGGGCTGGGGAAGGGAAGGCAAAGTAAGAGCCTGGACAATCTGTGATGTCAGAAAAAATGCAAATGCTCAAATATTGACAGGGATATGTTACAAAGGCACAGAAACCAGTTAGAAAAGTGTCCCACTGTCCACCTCAGGAACAAATTTGAACATCAAAATACATAATGATGGTAATGGATTAAAACCACTGAATAAAATAGGAAACCTGTGTCCACAGGGGTAAAATAAAGTTTGATGAGGAAGGACATTTACATAATTTCAAGGTACCTCCCTACAAAATACTAAGTAATTCCAAAGGAAAAAGTAATTTTGCATTGGAGACGCCTAGAAGACACCACCTTAATCAAGTGATCATGAACATCATCAATAAACACCCAAATTGAAGTGCACCACCCGTTAATTAAACTTATTGAATATTATGATGTACACAAGAAGCTAATAATGTTATATGTCAATTTTACCTTAATTTTAAAAATACTTTAAATATCAAGCATAATGAGAGCATGTAACAGGGTTACTAACTTAGTCTAAATGGCAGGGAAGGCTTCTCTAGGTGACTTATAAAAGCTGAGCCCTAAAGAAGAAGTAGGATTTCATATGGTTCAAAGAGAGGAATGTACCAGCAGAGAGAATATACAGGCCCTGCTGAAGACCTTACTGTCTTCCGGGGCTATTAGGTACCACTATGGTATTCTTCTCTAAAAACCATTCACTGTCTCCAAATAGGAGGAGCAGAGACAGAGGACTTTAGGACAGACAGAGAGGTAGGGAAGGAGTTTTCCAGGTATGTAACAGAAGACTATGGGTGTAAGGGAATCAAGATAGAATCAACCAAATTTCTAATCATGGGGTCCAAACCCAGGCAACTGACAATATCTAAAACTAAAGAATAAATAGTAAGATAAGCATATTATTTACAAATGTGAAGGTATATAACAAAAGAAATAGCTAAGAACTGAAAAGTCATCACTATGGAGCAGGTATTACAGGCTATACAGTGTTGCAATGCTGCTTATGTTGAAAGCCTTTAGCAGTACCTGATTTTTTAAAGCCCTGCACATTTGATTTAGATATTTAAAAAAGAAATATTGAAAGTCAAAAATAACAATAAAAAAATACCAAAGGCATTGGTAATATCATAATTAGTGATATTTTTCTAGGAAGCTCAAAACGGTATGAATATATTCTTTAAAAAGAAGTATGATAGGACTTCTGGTCAAGATGGCAGAATAGGTAAATGCTGTGCTTGCCTCCTCTCATGACCATATCAAAATTACAACTAAACTACAGAACAACATCACTGAAAATCACCTGAAATCTAGCTGGACAGAAGTCTTATAACTAAGAATATACAGAAGAAGCCATGTCAAGACTGGTAGAAGGGTACGGAGAAGTGGAATGAGCTGGTCTCACACCCACATGTCATGGTTAAAAATCAGGAGGGATATCTCAGCCGCAGAGCACCCCAAGAAGAAAGGGTTCCCAGCCCCACACCAGCTCCCCAGCCCAGGGTTCCAGTGATGGGAAAAGAAGTCACAACTTCTGGCTGTGAAAACCAGCAAAAATTGTGGCTGAGTGATGTGGAGGGCTGCTGGAGTCACAGGAGCTCCTCTTAAAAGGCCCAAGCACAGACTTACTCACTGACTGACTCACTCGCTCCCTCTGAGCTCCAGCACTGGGGCAACAGCTCAAAAGGCGCCAGGGACATATCGGGAGGAACTGAACTGTCTGGCTTCAAGGCAAGGGTTGAAGGGGCAGCTTTTTCCAGAAAAAATTACTAGCAGAAGTCACTGTTCCTTTGCTGAGCTCCCCTCCTACCCAGCATGCAGATGCAGGTGGCTACCACGTCTGAGTCTCCATCAACCAAGCTAACACCCTTTGCCTTGGTGATTCCCTGAAATCCTGACCCACTCAACTTGAGGGCCCACCCAAGCCACTTCCAGTGGCTTCTCCATACAAATGACCTGTCTTAGCTCATGCTGTGGACTTTCCTAAAATCTCTCAAAGGTTCACAAACCCCAAACAAACAACATATGGCCTCAATGTACCCTGTACCTCTTGCTAAGCAGCCCCAAGCCTGGCACTAGCATTAGCCAGCCTCGGTTTGCAGCTTAACCCCTCCCAGGAACCTGCAAGCCTAGCATAAATGGCTATCATCTGCAGATAACTGTCGTTCATACCAAGTGGCTTTAGGAAGGGCACAGGCAGCAACTGACCTTGGCCTGCACCTAAGCACCTCCCAGAACCAACATACCTAGTGGCCAGCTTCAGACTACACCAGAGCACTACTGAACCACATCCACAAACAACACACTCAAAGGGTCAACTTGGCAGGCATCAGAGCCCTGCTAAAGCAAATCATACTCTGTAGGGTCAGTCCCTGCACAATAGCTCCTCCACTGTAGTCACAGCCAGTCCTAACAACCAATCAGCCTAAAGGTGAATCCCTCCCACTGATGTACAAATAGCAACCAAAGCTCAAGTACTACAGGAGGGCACACACAACCCACACAAGACACACCCTTGGAGCATCTGGCTCAGGTGACCAGGGAGACTGTGCCACAGGGCCCCACAGGGCCCCACAGGGCACCTACTACATAAGGCTACTCTATCAAAACAGAGAAGTAGCAACTTTACCTAACACATAGAAACAAACACAGGGAGGCAGAACAAATGGAGAGACAAAGAAACATTTCCCAAATGAAAGGAGACAACAAAGCTCCAGAAAAAGAACTAAACAAAATGGAGACAATCTACCAGGTGCAGAGTTCAAAACACTGGTTATAAGGATGTTCAATGACCTCCGTGAGAACTTCACCAAAGAGATAAGAAACATAAAAAAGCAGATAGAAAACATAAAAAAGAACCAGTCAGAGATGAAGAATACAATAACTGAAATAAAGAATATATTAGAGGGAATCAACAGTAGATTAGATGAAGCAGAGAGCTGAATCAGCACTTGGGAAGATAAGGTGGCAGAAAACACCCAACCAGAACAGCAAAAAGAAAAAAGAATCCAAGAAAAATGAGGATAATTTAAGAGGCCTCCGGGACAACATCAAGTGTATCAACATTCACATCATAGAGGTACCAGAAGGAGAAAAGAGAGAGGAAGGATTTGAAAACCTATTTCAAGACATAATAACAGAAAACTTCCTGAACCTATAAAGGATACAGACATACAAGCCCAGGAAGTGCAGAGTCCCAAACAAGATGAGAGGCCTACACAAACACACATCATAATTAAAATGCCAAAGGTTAAAGACAAAGGGAGAATCTTAAAAGCAGCAAGAGAAAGGCAATTACATAGTTACCTACAAGTGAGCTCCCATAAGACTGTCAGCTGATTTCTCAACAGAAACTTTGAAGGCCAGAAGAGATTAACACGGAATACTCAACGTGATGAAAGCAAGGACCTACAACCAAGACTACTCTACCCAGTACCATCATTTAGAATCGAAGGACTTATAAAGAGCTTCCCAGAAAAGAAAAAGCTAAAGGAATTCATCACTATCAAACCAGTATTACAAGAAATGTTACAGGGACTTATTTAAGAAGAAGAAAAAAGATAAAAAATATGAATAATAAAATGGCAATAACCATATATCTATCAACAATTATGTTAAATGTACTTGTAAATAGATTAAATGATCCAATAAAAAGATACAATGGTTGAGTGGATAAGAAAACAAGACCTGTACATATGCTGCCTACAAGAGATGCACTTCAGATCGAAAGACACACACAGACTGGAAGTAAAAAGATGGCAAAAGATACATCATGAAAATGGAAATGAAAGGAAAAGATGGAGGAGCAATACGTATACCAGAAAAATAGACTTTAAAACAAAGGCTATAACAAAAGACACAGAAGGATCCGGAATTCCACTTCTGGGTATTTAGCCAAAGGAACTCAAAACACTACTTCAAAAAGGCATGTGCATCCATATGCTCACTGTAGCATTATTTACAGTGGCCAAGATATGGAAACAATGTAAGTTTCCATCAATAGATGAATGGATAAAGAAAAGTGGTACATATCATACAGTGGGACATTACTCAGCCATAAAAAAGAATGACATCCTGCCTTCTGCAACAATGTGGATGGACCTAGAGGGTATTATGCTGAGTGAATTAAGTCAGACAGAGAAAGACAAATACCATATGATTTCCCTTATATGTGGACGCCGAAGAACAAAATAAACAAAACACAAACAAACTTATAGAATTCCTAAGTTAAATCTCTAAAATTCTTATCCATGTGTTTTGTCAAAGCATTCATTTTATTTTTTCTAAAATATTTATGTATATTTCAACATAATTATGTTTTCTGGTTATAAAAATAATATATATTCAGTGTACAAACTTTGGAAAGTAAGAAAAGCACAGAAAAGTTAAATGTCCCATGTTTCCATTCTTCAGGGACAGGTACTAATAATATTTTATTGTCTCTCCCTAGAGATTTTTTTCTGTATGTCTATTTATTACCAAATAAAGTGTTACACTAAAAATACTGTTGTAACATTTTTGTTTTAAAATTGTGTAATTACTGGATAAATACAAATGATTATATGTAATGTTAAAAATACAAAAGAATATATGTAAGATTAAAAACATACAAAAACCAGTAAATCAAAGAAAAAAATAAAAACATTACATTTTTTTTTTTTTTTTTTTTTAGCTGAGCCATCCTGCTACCTGTTGGCAGCTCAGCGGCTGCTCAGCTCGGGCTGGACTTGAACCGCTGTTGCTCAGAGCTCAAACTCTTGAGCAAGCTCTTAACCAACTGAGCCACTCGGCCGGCCCAAAACATTACATTTTAAGCCTCCTGTGTGCCCTTTCCAATTTCCATTCCACTCCCTCCCTTTTCAGAGCTATACTAAAATTTTGTTTATAATCCTAATTTTCTTTGTAGTATTAAGAAACATACATTATCTAATTTTGCCTGTTGTTTTTGAACTTCTAAATGCAATCATGCTGTATGTACACTTCTGCAACTTACTTTTTAAAATTTTGTGCCCAATATTACATTTCTGACATTCATCTATGCTGCTACATGCAGCTGTAATTCATTTGCTTTCTCTGTTGCATAAATGTATGTATCCATTTTCCTGTTAATTGATGTTTGGGTTGTTTCTAGTTTCTAGCATTATAAACAGTACTATCATGAACACTTTTGTACACATCTCCTGGTGCACAAGTGTCAGGGCTTTCATTAGGACATATATATATATATATATATCTTGGAGTGGAATTACTGGTCAATTCCACTCGTATATCTGGTAACTGGTAGTGTATCGGTATACTCGTATATCAACTTACTGGATAATGTCAAATTGTTTTCTAAAGTGGTTGGACCAATTTATACTCACCAGCAGTGAGATAAGCTCACTTCCTTTCTTTGTTCTTTTCTATTTTCTGAGAGTTTTTCCCTTTTGAGTTTTAAATTTTTTTCTGCTTCGTATTTTCAATTTCCAAGAGCTTAATGTAACTTCCCATGTTACATTAATGTAACTTCCCATGTTACATTCATTAATGTAATGAAGCGTCTGTATTTTGTTTCTTCCTGTTCATATTTAAAAGTGAGGCACTAGAAAGCCGATTAGAAGCTCTGTGTACATGAATAGGGTTTGCTCACTGGTGGGCTTCACCGATCATTTAGGAACCACGGTTTCACTTGAGGAGCCCCTCAAATGTCAGTGTGGATAGGTCTTCTCTCCGGGGCCAAGCAGTCACTTCATCCCTGTTTTCAGTTCAGCACCTCTCTCCTGTCTTCTTCTACTGGGGCTAATGTCCCTAAGTTTAGAGCCTCCCTAATTAAATATCTGCACAGTCTGAAAGGTATCTCATTACTTCTTAAGCAGACTTTCAAGTCCCTTTATTGTCACCCTTATGCCACATCCCATCTCCTACAGCATTTGGCTCCTCGAATTCTGCATCTTTCTAGAATTTTGAGACACAAATTGGCTGTTATTGGAATTCTCTGTATTTCTCCAGCAGTGAAATCTGATATTCAGATTATTAAACTTTGCTAATTCCTCCATCCCTTCCATCTTCTAAAAATCATCCAACGGCAATTGTCCATTCTCCTATTCTTTTAATCCTTGTAGGTTAATGCCTTCTTTATTTTATCATTTACTCTCATTTTAGAAGAATTTGGGGAGGAAGCAAATGTGTGTTAAATTCACTTTGTTTAACTGAAGTTTCATTCCTTACACATTTTAAGCAAGGCAAACAATGAAATCATAATAACATTCATTTGTAATTATATATTTAATATAAAGAAATACTTAGGAAAGGAAAACCATTTTCTTAATAATGATGCTAAAGGGATATAAATAAAACTATTCTCCTCAATACAAGAGCTGTTTTTGGTGATAATCAAAAGAAAGGGATAATCAAAGAAAAGAAAGATTTTTGGAAAAGATTTTTCTTAATGATATTTACTTTATCCTATAATGCTAATAAGTATTGTGAAAATACACTTGTATTACTCCCCCCAAAAATGTGAAATGCAAAGAGCATTAATATAATTAATTGTACATCTTAGCTCTGTTTGATATATTATTTTAAAATCAAATAGAAATACCTTTACCATTAGCTAGCCTGCAAACATTTATGAATATAAATCAGTTATTATGAACAATTCCAGCAAAAAATTAAACATGTATGTGTCTTAAGAGGAAACAAATATTAGGCCAATAAAATTAGTTTTTACAACAGAAAATCTAACTGAAGCTTAAAAATATAAGTTAATCAGAGTAACTAAAAGGAATATTTTCCATTAGCCAATTTTTAATTAAGTATAAAGAAAATAATATAACTCCAGCTGGAGAATCTAGGCTCTAAACCTTTGCTGGTATTTATTTATAATGTTTTAACTTATATTTTAAAAAATATTGAAATTAATCCAGAGCTGATTTACCCCCAATGTGTAAGGTATTCTTCAAAGACCACAAGTGCAGTTCAGTCAAGCAGAAAGACATCTGATGGCAGAAGGAATCTCTGTCCTGTTTAAAAAATAATTAAAAAGAGGTGCCAATTAATTATCTTCTAATGCCAATAAAACCAAGACCCCTTAGATATAATAGAATCATTTGCCACTACTGATATTCGAGATATGGCTCATTAGAACAAACATTAGTATAGCCTTGGTTAATCATCCAGAAATAAACTCTAGAAGAAAAATGCACTTTTCATAGATTTACTATTGTCATTACACTGAGAAATGTGCTAAAAAGAATATATATTTGAGTTTTCAATAACATATGTGTGGTTTTTAAAGGTCTGAGTATATTTAGAATTATTTAGTATTTAAGCATTTTTAAAAACATATTTTTAAGGAAAGGAAACATCTGTTAGGTAGTTATTAAGTACAGACACATTTGTGGTGTTTTTAATATACAAAGCAAATATTTACTATCTCTCACATATAAACTGGCTAATTTAAAGTGAAATTTGCAAGGTAAATAGTATATAGTTACTATTATAAGAAACACATTTACTTAGAAGTGAACTGTGTGAAACCACCTTAGCATTTAGTTTGTTAATCTGTACGTCATGATAGATCCAGATATTCTACTCCAACTGCATTAAAAAAATAATAACAAAAATGCACATCCTGTATTTTCTCACAATTTTACTAGCAGGGGTTAGTGATGGATATTATTGATATAATATAAAATATATAATAATATTATATATATATATTTTTTTTAACTAAGTAGAACCTAATCAATTTGGACTGATTGGGAGAAGACCAATCTGAGTCAGGAAAAAAGTCAATATTTTACAAATATTTGAAAAGAATTTATGTAACTTTCAAATGTTTGCTTGGATATATATATGTAAACTACCAACATTTTCCTTTTAGAGATCATTAAAAATTGCTCTTTTCCAATAAACTTCTGAATAACAAAAGAAGCTTTAAAAATATTTTAAGACATGTTTTGGATGGAGGAATAAGCCTTCAGCTTATTTAACATTAGGAGTGAATAAAAATATTTCCCATCCTAGTCATATGGGTGACCATCTATAATAATTTTGGACATAGTATAAAATTCTTTGGCCTTTCCTTCACCTTTAGATTTGACCTCAATACACTTATAATCATCAAGAAACAGGTGCATATTCAACTAATGAGGACACAGTATGCTAATTATTAAAATGGCAGAGTGAACAATGTGACAACATAAAAGAAGGGCCCAAGCCTGTCTGAAAGAGTGGGCCTCTAAGAAAGCTACAGGGAAGTTTGTGAAGTGTTAGCAAGACCTCAGAGAAGTATAGGATTTTACCAGTTAAACAATGAAGAGGATGATGAGGATAACAGATAATATGAAGTACTTACCTCATGACAAGCATTGTTCCAAACATCATACATATGTATATGTGTATATATGTATTTGTATGTATATATGTAATTTATATATTAACTCATTTATTCCTTATAGCTACTCTTTAGAGTAGTACCACCATCACTTCTATTAAGAGAAAAACGAGGCACAGAGAGATCACACAGCCAGCAGGTGGTGGAGGCAGGCGCTGAATCTAAGCAGATTGGCTCCAGAGTCTGAGCTCACAATTACAGTGCCCTACTGTATTGGCTGTACAGAGGTATGATATGGAAAGCACATAGTAGTTTGAGTAAAAGAAAGGCATGTCCCAGGGATGGTGGTAAATCAAGATGCATATTGGAAAGTGATGGACAAATTAAGCTGAAAATGGTAAAAAGGAAACAGGCTACAATAATGGTAAATTTTGGATTGATCTGAATTCACTCTTTTCCTTGTATCAAAGAGCCTTTAAAGGTTAGAGATGAATCAAAGGATCCTCCAATCCCCAGATCTGCCCTGCTCGAACCAAAAGCTGGCTGCAATGTACACAGGGATGCGGTAGGAGAGCTAGTGGGCTGTATTACTATGAAAGAGTTTCCTATCAGCAGAAAGCAGGAAAAAAGAGATATTAAGCAAAGCATAAGTTTTTCCGTTCAATTGAGTATTATCTTTCAGAGTTGTCACATTAGGAGTGACTCTAGTGAGGCTGCTATTACTTAAAATATTTCCAAAGCTGTGTTCTCTGGGAATGTTTTCAGTTAGTTTTATGAAGCTTATTTCAGAATTATTATTTTATGGTTATACTTTTTTAAAAACTAAAATACTGTATTAGAATATGTAAATTGCACCTCTCTCATTTGTATGGGTGATGTCTGCAATGTTTATTTAAAGAATCAGTTAATGAATTAAGTAAATATTTATTTTGCATTTATTAAGCTTAATGTATGAATTGTAGACTCTAAGTCCTGGTTTCTTATTCCAACTTCTCAGCTTACTAGCTAATTTGGACAACTTACTTAACTTCTCTGTTTCTAAGTACCCCCTGTTATAAATAGGTATAATTAAGTACCTACCTCAGGACTGTATTGAGGGTTACATTATTCAATTACCTTATTATTGCCATTGTTGATGCTATTGCTACTACTACTTGGTATGTTTAGCACTAGGCAAATTTATATGGAAAAAACAAAAAAGGTATTAAATATGATCTCTCACTTTATATAGTTATTTAAGGTGAAATGACTGAATGAATACTAAGCACAACACAGGGGTTTTGTAAAGAAAAAACATTTATATGTGGGGAAGTTTAACATAAGAGGAAGTATGCATGAATTAGGACAATCAAATGGATTAATATCCCACTGAAACTGGGAAGAAAGGATGTGATGAAACAGGAGCACACTTTCTCTGATATTGAGCAACAAGAGTCACGATTTCTAGATTACACTAGAAAATAAGAATTCACTTTCCTCAATGTAATGTTTATCCAAATACCAGTAATTAGAATTCATGACAATTTGGGCAAAGACAAGGCTGAAGTTTAGCTGTTAGTAGCTACATAAAAAGATTTACCATGCAAATTAAATACAGATAAAATTTTATAACTAAAACCAAAAAGGCAGCAACTTTACTTACATATCAAAAGAAGAACGCACTTGAAATTTTATTTTTCAGATTAAGTCTATTCAATAATAAAGAATTTGTCAAAACTTTCCTCTGATAACAGAAATGGAGAGTGGAGAATAATTTTCTTTGTAATCCATAGTGGCTATTTCTAAGAGGCAGGAACGGCTTTTAACTAGAAAACCAGTAGGTCTACTGCCCATACCTTTATTAAGTTTTAAAGTCCTTAACCACTCAGAAATCATGCAGTTTGGGGGGAAATAAGCAAAATGAGGTGTGTGGAGAGCTTCAAGTGTCAAGTGCAAAGCCTTTGACCCTACCCATTTGGACATAAGCGGAAATTTTGAGAATAGTACAATGTAGAGTCTACAATGGGACCTGTCTTCCAGTTCAGCATCAAAGGATTCATGTCTGGTTCTAATGGGGGTGCAAGGACTGAGAAAAATGTACAACCAAATGCTCATACAAACAACACTGCTATAGTTTCCACTAAAAGTAAAGGACAAAAAAGAGAGACATTCTACTTTACAAAGGATTCCTCTGTGGCCCCACAGGGAGTACCTGGTATAAACATGGTGAAGTGACTGCAGGGGTGATGCCCAGCAGAAAGTGAGCAGGACTGGTAGCCCTTCAGATTAGTGTGATCAGTGAAGAGTGGCGGTATCCAGACAAAATGGGATCTGTACCCAGCAAAAGTAGCCACGATGGCCAAGGAGTAATCCATACACGTGAAGAAATGGCAGCAATCATCAGCTGATAAGGTAGGCCTAGGAAGTAGTAGGTAAGGCAAGTGAGAAGAAAATGTCAATGTTCATTAGTAAATGAGTGGACTTGTTTATGAACACATGTGATGGCTCCTGCGGACCCCCCAAAATATGTGTTGTTAAGGACGCGGCTTTGCAGGGTCAGGCATTATTAGGGGGCAAAAGATAGTAAAATGTGGGTTATTCATCCTTTCCCCTAAACTTCAAATATGTATAAGTAAAATCACATAAAAGAGAATTAATGGAGTAAATAACACAAATTTGTAAAAATCTATAGTAATTGCTGGGAGGGGGCCAAATCAATATCTTTTTTAGTCCTCAAGATGTCTTGCCATCTCTATACTGTGCAATTTTTTTTGAATAATGCAGACATTAAAACACCTTGCATCTTAAGCATGCCAGTAGTTAAAAAGAATGCTGGTAATTTCCTAGTTTGAAAAATGTGCCTGAAGGAAGTAGTCAAGACTTAACTTGTATTATTCAAATATTGTATTAGTGCATAAATAGTTGTTTTGAAAGGGGGAAGAAAAGAATTTCAGAAGAATGCTGGATTCTGCATTTCAGGAGGGGGTGTGTGAAAAAGGTAGTGAAATAGGGAGTGCCTAGCAAAGTAAGCTGAGAAATGCTGCCCCACTCATGCCCTTGTGCATTTCTCTGGGGATAAACCCAATGCACATGACTTAGAACTAGAACAAAAATATTTACATGGGGGAAAATGAAAGAATGAATTAATTTAAAATATAGAAAACTGTTTTAGTATTGAATATTGAATAGGAAAAAGAATTATTCAAATGAAAAGAATAGAAGCGAGAACCTAAACAAACAAAAACTGCCCATAATTTTTCAATTATTTTAAAATATCTTTTCAACTTTTACAATTTTCTGTTTACTTTAATTTCACAGGGTAGCTGATGACAGTCGCAGGTATCTCAGAAGGCCATTCTGAATCCAAATTTCCAGACTCCAAAGAGAAGCAGCAGCATGATTTAAATTGAGCATGACCTAAATCTAGATAATTTTTTTCTTGGGAGAGGGAGGAGAATCTATGATAGTCCAAATTTGAGGAGACACGAAGGAATCCTAGAGAGCCCTTCTTATTTTCTACTTACATCCTCAAAAAGTTTAAAAGCTTCCTTCCCAAACAGGTTACATTACAATAAATATTTATTTGCTTAAGAATAATAGTTACCATACAGACTAAATTTTAAGAATGTAACATGCAAAATAGAAACCACTGCACTAGGCTGCTGTATCTTGTCAAACCTTTGATAACATTGTTTTGAAAAATAAAAACTAAGTTTTAGAGGTAAAGATAACTGGTCACTAAATAAATCTACAAAATATTTGCCTTCCCTGGTTTCTGGAATCAGCTACTTTGACTGCTTTGGGAAGAACAGGAAGCTTGAGGGCAAATAAAACCCTAATGTAAAATATGATGTGAAAGAAAGAATTAACTAAGAGAAGACTTTGGTGTAGTTTAACAAAGACAAATGATCCCATCGTGCCAAAAAGACATTTAAGATGAATGTATGAGCAAAATGCTTCAAAGAGCCTAAAGGATTATGTTTCGTAGGCATAATCTTAGAACATATACTTACTATTTATTATCAAGAGATGTTCTGAAGAACATCTATTCACCAATTCAAAATATACAAAACTAAAGAAAACGACAGAGTATGAATTTAAGATTAACCCCTGGTTAGTTGTATTAGGTGTTCTAGTCATCATTAGGTAATTTTCAAATTACATAAAATACACTGTATTCCCCCACATTCTCTTATCAACACAAAATTATATTAATACCTGTTAAGCATATGCGTGAACATATTTCATCAACATCAGAAATAAAAACTTTTTGAAATATTCAACACTAAACCAAACAATTAAGTAATTATAAAATAATAAAGGACAGAGGAGTCTCAAAATAGAGAGACCTCAAGCTTGGATTATTGAACCTGTTGTAACAAGAACACTGAGTCATTTGGACCTCAGAGAGTCCTATGATAACTAAATATTCATTAAGTATCACAAATACTTTGAGCATTTTAGGTGTATAACATTTTACCATGAGTCATGGATACAGAGATTTATAAAGCAAGGTTTCTACTATCCTACTATCAAATACCTATAATCTATTGTAGCAGATAAAATAACCACAAAAACAATAGCATGAAGTTTGTGGTAAGTGCTAATTTAGCAACGTAAACAAAGTGCTATAGGTGTTCAGTATATATTCTAGTTTGATAATAAAGAAATGCTTTTAGAAAGTAGAGGGTATTTGAGGATTGTTAGGTTGTGATAGAGGGAGAGATAAAAAGGAGGGAACAATACACTTTAGACAGAGAAATGCAAGGATTATTTGAGAAATAATAAGCAATTTGTTTGGTAAACAAATAGGAGAGATAAATCAGGGCTAAATTAAGAAGATTTTTAATGCCAAATTTAAGAATTAAGACTTTATATCTGTTAGGTAGCCAATTGAGGAGTAATGAAAAGTTTCTGCTCTGGTATTTTAGGAAGGGTAATCAACAGCTCAGAATCATTAAAAGATTAACTGTGTGGGTGGGGGTATTAGAGGAGTGGAGGAATATTCAATACAAGTGACCTGTTAGAAGGGGAATAAATAGGTAACACCAATATACAGTAAAAAGGACTTGAATTGGAATGGTGGCAGATGGGATGTAAATAAACAGATTCAAGCGATCTTGTAAAGAAAAAATCAGCAGCATGTGATGACTGATGAGAGAAGAAAGAATCTGGAGGAACCACCAAGGGATAGGGATCTAGTTACTGCACAGATAGTGACCCTTGCTTTGAACATGGCTCCACTGAGTAGACATGCCTCCATCATTATATGCCAGGTAAAAGGGTTCCCATGCATTCTGTTCACATGCCTGCCTTAGTTACTCAACCCACACTGCTCAGTTTTCCTAGTGCCTGTCCTGGCTACTTGGTAGCTTCGCCACTCAGTTTATAACTCTGGCTCTTCCTCCTCCTTAGACTGTGCTTCGGCTTCTTTACCCTGACAAAGAACTCACAAATACCATTTTTCTTGGGCACACCTGGTTCCCAGGATCCCCTTAACCATACCTGTTCCCACCTGGTGTATTCTAGTTTCAAGAGCAGGACTTGGATTGAAACATACATAAAAACAGGTTAATCTAGAAGAGGGGCAAGTTCTGCTATGGTCAATAAGTTCAATTTTAGATACGGTGTGAGTTCAAGCCGTAAGGGTAGATATGGGTTTGTCTAGCTGGTAGCTGAAAGTACAGAGGGGCCTGGGCCATATAAAAAATTGTGGGGTTTTCTAAATAGAAAAGAAAGTTAAAACCACTGAATAAGATCCCATAAGAAAAACAGAAGTCAAGGATAGATATTTTGGTAATTCTCCAATAAAGAGAAAATGAAAAAGACAGATTGAGACAGCCATGAAAGAGAAAAATGATATGTGTGTGTGTTTTTAAGTGGTTACTATAGGGATCAAACTCGTTTCTGAATTTTAATGCAGACATGACCTCAATATAGTTTAATGAGAACTAATGTTTTATCGAGGACACAGAGATTAAGTCTTCTAAAGAAGGTGTGGTTCTGCTGCTCTGAATACTGGGCCCTGAGCCAAAAATGTCTTAGTTCTAATCCTGCTGTGACAAATTTACCCCAAACCATTTAACCTCTCTGCCTCAATTTCCCCACCTGCAAAAATAGGGATAATGACATTGACCTACATTTCTAAGAGTGTTGTAAGGATTAATTAATGTTGTATAATGCTTTGAAGATAAAAAGCGCTGACCATTATTAGTGGGTATAGCACATCTAATTGCCTATAATACTAAAAACTTGATCCTTTAATTTTATTCAAACAGCAGAAGTGTCCTAGCTCCCTTAGTGACATTTCACGTATTATTTTTTAATTATTATTTTAAATATATATAGATCTTTTCTATATTATTTCATAAGTGTTAGCTCATAGCATATAAAGTTATATACAGATCAGTTCAGAAGTCTAGAACACCTTTTCAACCTAAATACTAAGTGTAAATATTCAGGACATAATTATTTGGTAATGATCACCCATTGCAAATATTCAATAAATGTTAAAAGCTAATACTTATGAAATTTTAGATTTAACAGGTAACACTCAGCAAGTAAATATTAGAAACAAAATGCAAAACCACAAAGCAGTATGTTAAAAACAGTCTATCATGTCCTTATTTTTAAAACAAGCTATAGAACCTAAAAGTATACAAAAAAATAAATAAATAAGAGAGACACTTTTAAATCCATTAGACACTCTGTCTGGTCTTTCGTTTCTTCTTGGGTTTTAAAATTATGATCGTAACACATGTTTTTTGTTTAAAGAATGCAAACAATATGGAAGCGCTTGCTGTTAAAATGAACATGTTCCCCTCCCTCTCTCCTGCCCTCCCCACTCTGAGAACCACTGCACAGCGTGGCATGTGGTCTTCCAGACTTTCTTGGTGTACTCACAGTATTGTCCACACCCATACTGATTTGTTTTATATTTTTGTAAAGACAGGATTTTACTGTACATACAATTTGCTTTTTTTTCATTGAACACCACAGCATAGAATTTCTCTGTTAGAACATATAGATTTACCTCCTTGTTTTTTAATAGCTACAAGATGCTCCACTGGACAGTAATCATAATTTAACCATTCCCTTAATGAACAAGATTCTGTTTCTACTTACTACTTACAAATAATACTATGAAAATATATACACACAACTGATGCTGTGAAAGGTACTGCCAAATTGGCCTCCAAGATGACTGTACCAATTTACAGCTCCACCAATAACCCTATAACTTCAATAAGATGGAGTATTACTAAAGTTTTTAATTTTTGCTAATCTGGTAGGTAAAATATGGATTCTTGTGGTTTTAAGTTTCATTTTTCTATTCATTAAAGAGATCAAACATCTTTTCATGTATTTTTTAAACAATTTTGTTTCTATAAATTACCTGTTCCTAGCTTTTGTCCGTC